TTTTGTGGGGGGTGATTTTTGTGTCTGGGGAGGGGACGGAGGAGAGGGGGCAGGCGAGGGGGAGGAGGTGGCTCCAAAATGGCCGAGGGAGGCCAGAGGGAGGATGGAGCGATGGCCGGGGGACAGGGGACGGCCAGGAGGGGACGAGGGGGTGGCGGCCATCGGCCTCAGGCCTGAGCAGGAGACGAGAGGCCAAAGCCTGAGACCTGCTCCCGTTGCCATGGCAACGAAGCCTGAGGCCTGCTCCTGAAGCCAGAGGCCTACTCCTGTTGCCATGGCAATGAAGCCCTCAGCCTGCTCCTGTTGCCATGGGGACGAAGCCTGAGGCCTGCTCCTGTTGCCATGGCGACGAAGCCTGAGGCCTGCTCCTGAAGCCTGAGGCCTATTCCCGTTGCCATGGCAATGAAGCCCTCGGCCTGCTCCTGTTGCCATGGTGATGAAGCCTGAGGCCTACTCCCGTTGCCATGGTGACGAAGCCTGAGGCCTGCTCCCGTTGCCATGGCAACGAAGCCCTCGTCCCGCTCCCCTTTCCGGGGGGAGGGCCGCGTCGGGCGCACTTGTCCCCACGACAAGCCACAATAAAACGGTGATGGCGGCTGCTGTGAGCCCGGCTGGTGACACTGGGGACCGGCGGGGTGTTGTGGGGGAGGGAGGAGAAGGAGGGAGGCGCCGACGGGGATTATAAACCTTATAATAAAACGCGTTTATATTTCGACTTGCGCGGCTCTACGCGATATTACGGTAGAGCGGGAGTGCGCATACGCGGGGTCGATCGGGGGGGCGGGACGAGCGGGCGGGTGGGCGGAGCGCGGCGATTGGACGGAGCTAGGACGCACGCGCGGTGATTGGCAGAGGGCGGCGCGCGCGGCGGCGTACGGCGGCCGGGAGGCGAAGGCGGAAGCGGAGCCGCCATCATGGCGGCGGCGGCGGCGCTGGAACGATGGGTGTCCGGGGAACTGCAGGAGCTGCTGGGGCTGAGCGGCCGCCACGTCCCGGCTTTCCTGGTGGCTCTGGCCCGGCGGAGCCGCAGCGTGGAGGAGCTGCTGGAGCGGCTGCGGGAAACGGAGGCGCTGAGGGTGGAGGAGCCGCGCGTGCGCGCCTTCGCGCGGGAGCTCTGGGAAAAGGTGGGCGGGGCTTGGCGGCGGCGGGGGGGCCGTGGCTTGGAGGGAGGGGGCGTGGCTTGGAGGGAGAGGGCGGAGCTTGGCTGGAAGGGGCGGGGCTTGCCCCTTTAGACTGGGCCGGGAGGGAGATGG